GTCAAGTGCTTTAGCCACTATTGAGACATAATTTATGTATTAAAAGTTCACCCATTCAGAGGGTACAAGTCAATGGATTTTGGTAGATTTACAGAGTGGTGGAGCCATCATTGTAATCTAACTTGAGAATATTTTCATCTTCCCTAACAGAAATCCATTACCAGTCACCCTCCATCCTTCCATTATGCTTTCTTCCCTCTCCTCCCTTCTCCAGGCCACCACCATTAATCTACTTCCTGTCTATATTGGTTTTCCTGTTTTATACATTTCGTATAAATAGGATCATGCAATATGTGATCTTTTGTGACTGGCATCTTTCACTTAGCATATGTTTTATTTGCTTTTAAATTTATTTTTATTGCAGTAAATAAATAACAAATATTTTCCATTTGAATAATTTGTACAGGTACAGTTCAATGACAATAGTTACGTTCATCATGTTGTTCCACCAGAACCCTATCCATTTAGATGATGTTTCGAGGTTCATGCTGTAGCATATATGAGTGCTTTACTCCTCGTATTGATTAGTAATATTCCATTTTATGAACATAGCACATTTTGTTTATCTGTTCATCAGTTGAGAGGCATTCAGATTCTTTCCATTTTTTCCTGGAATTTAATTTCTGATGGTGAACTAAGAACAATCTATAACTTCATATGGATTTGGGTGAAGGGAAGGACAATGTGCCAAATGTAAGTGATCAACACAGTGGCATTGAGGAAGAGGAAGATATAGAGATGTACATGGGAGGTACAGACAACAAAGATGAACCCTTTTGCATGTACAGTTACTGTGTTGTCAGTGATGGCAAGCATTGATCTATGGGTGGATAGATGGGCAGACAGGCTGAATGTTCAGGTATGTTTAAGCAGGGGGGAATGCCCCCATGACCGTGTATAGGGTTAGTGGACAGTGCTTCTACATACATGTTTGTATGTGCTGTAGAATAGCCAGGTGTACAGTACAGCTGACAAAGGGAAGGTTGTGGTGGCTTCTTGGCCACAACCAACTACCTGGAGGGAGTGAGTAGTTGGACCTGTGATCTTGGGACCTGGTCACAGGGGACATCAAGCTCAATTGGCATAACATACTACACAAAAACATTGTTGTACATCCTACTTTGGTGAGTAGTGACTGGAATCTTAGAAGCTTGCAAGCATCCATCTAGATGCTCCTTGTCCAGAGCAAAGAAGAATGAAGAGAGCCAAAGACTCATGGAAACGATTAGTCCAAGGAACTCATAGACCATGCAGTCCTCAGCCTATATGACCATGAGACCAGAAGATCTAGATGGTGCCTGGCTACCACTGTCAACCACTCAGAAGGGGATCAGTGCAGGAGATCCTGGACAGAGTGGGACAACAATGTGGAACAAAACTCAAAATCATAAAAATAAAGACAGGGTTTGCTGGTCTGATAGAGCCTGGTGAGACCCCTGAGACTGTGGCCCCTAGTTACCCTTCAGGTCTGGAACTGAATTCACTCCTGTGGCTTCCAGCCAAACAATAGACAGGCATATGGGCTGAACATTTACATCAGGTAGATACACTACCTGTAATAGTCAATCATGGGAGAACAGAAGGGCGGGCAGTGTTTGCACAGGGAGCGGGAGTGCATGGAAGTGAAGGACACAGGGAAGAGAGCTGTTACATTGTGGAAATTGCAGTCAATGTCATGAGATAAAATGTGTATGGAAAATTAATTTGCTGTATAAACTTTCACCCAAATCACAATCACAATCAAAATAATAATAAAGAACAATAACTTGAAAGGCTCACTTTGGACTAGGCTTGACGCCTGAGGAGCTGGACTGTCCATCAAGAGGAGGGAGAGTTTGGAAACTAAGGACATTCATTTCATGATATTTTAATTTTATGAGTAACTCATACTTCTTTAAGAGCTCATTTTCCACTTATTTTTTTTCTATTACTTCCACTGTGAGGAGGTCTTAAAATAAGAGATAGGGACTCTTTCTTTTTTTGAATATCCTTATACAATGTAGACATTGCTTAAGACACACTTAGATCTAAAAGTTACCATCAGTCTCCACAGAGACTGTAGCTAAGTATGTATACTTAAAAAGCAGATGGTCTTTATCATACCCTAGTATTACTCCTTTAACTCATCCAAGTTGGAATAATGTGTAATCATTTGTTTTAATTGTGTTAAAAAGATAAATACAAAACATTTGCCAATTCAACAATTTCTACATCTAAAATTGAGTGACACTGATTTTATTCCACATATGTAGCTATTATCACTATACTTTTCTGAATTATTCCAACACCATCAACATAAATTGTATAATATTTTGACATTTTGATATTGCCCTATATGTCTATTTTCAGATTGTCTTTTCTTTTTTTAAAAAAAAAAAAAAATCTGACAAGTAAATTATTCTGGGATTTTCTTCCTTGCCTACAATCTCATTTTTCCTTAAAACTAAGCAAAGAAGTGTTTGGATTATAGTCAAACATAAATCCAAACATCTTTGCCATTTTCTTCTTTAAAATTTTAATGAGATTGTCAACTTTATGGGAAAGATTTTGTTTAGCCTCTTTTAATAGAATTATTCCACAGATATGTTTATCACAGGAGATGTTACTTACTGTTCTCTGTCTACCAGAGCATTGAGAGACTTTTAAATTACTTTTTCTTTTTGAGCAGCTTTGCCCTGCCCTTTCTAAAGGAAAAGGACTACAAAAAAAAAAAATTGACCACAGATGAACTGAGGGCATCAAATGCCATTTTACCAAGAAATTTGTAAGATCATCAAGCCTTCAGATAGTGACATCCAACACGCACCCTTTCCTATATCCTTATGAAACACATTTTATTGTCAGATACGTATCTGAGAAACACTGTGTATATCTATATCTCTTAATCTCTCAATGGCTTCTTTGCAGTGGCACTGCTGAGCTATTTGCTACCTGTGCCAAGAAGGACATCAGAGTGTGGCACACATTGTCCAACAGGGAGCTGCTGCGGATCACCGTGCCCAACATGACCTGCCATGGCATTGATTTCATGAGAGATGGGAAAAGCATCATTTCAGGTAACAACTAACTGTCAAGATTTGGATTCGGGCTCTGGCCATGGTTTTGATTCTTGTCATTCTCTTTGTACCAGGGCTTCAAACCAGTTCTTCCCAGTTCAGTCATGGCCAATACAGCGAAACTGGAATGGACCCAAGTGTGGAAAAATTATGAGTTGACTCTTTGCTAGAAGCTTAATCTCCCTCTTAGAAAACAAGGGCAGTGTGCACGTTGCATAGCAACCAGATCTCTTAACAGGCACAGTGGGATACTATGGTGCCCTGCTCAGAGATGGAGGCCAACTGTGCTGCTTTGAATGTGTGTCACTCTCCACAGTCCTGGTGATAATTCAATCTACCACATCAGACTCCTGAAGGGGCTCGCTATGCCTCTTCCAAGTCTCCCATTCCACAGCCTCAACTCATAAATTTTCTCATTCCAATTATCATTCCGCTTCACCCAAATTTTAAAATTTGGGTCTGTTCTGATTTTGCTTCATCAGCCATGACTGAACCTGTTAGAACTGGTTCGAAGACCTGCTTTCTAAAGGAGTCTCCACTGTGTGTGTATCCAGGTAATCACCTGGAACAGCATCCCACTGGCCACCCCCTCCTTTCTTCTAATCTAGCCTCTCTTTTGAGTTCTCCTCCAGCTGGGAGACTTTCTGAGGTAGGAAGAACCAAATAGCAATTTCTCTTCTCCCAAATTGCTGCATATAGCATATATCTTTCTTTAGAGCAGAGAAATTTGTAATTCAATTACAAAGTGGATTTGAGGACTTACTGAGTACTGGGCACCAAAAAAAAAAAAAGAGAGAGAGAGAGAGAGAGAGAGGAGAATCCAAATCAAACTAAGTTATGCCCTCAAGGGAATTCATTTATTTTTAATTCAATTTATTATTTTATGCCAAAGTATTTTAACATGAATTATAAACATGATGATATTCCACCTCTCAATAGTTCAATGTACATCCTGAAAAGCAATATATTCCTATGAAATAACAATTTCTTAATATTTTCTTATGAGTAATACATTTGCACATTTCTCAGTAGTCCAACAATAACCTTATTGATTTACATCAATGAAAAGTCAAGAGGGTGGACCTTTAGGTGCAGCTATTAACATGATGAGGAGCCCTGGTGGTGCAGTGTCTGAGGCATTTGACTGCTAACCAGAAGGCTCACCAGCCACTCCTCAGAAGGAAGACTGGGCAATCTACTTCCATAGACATACCGCCTTGGAAACCCAAGGTGGGGTCACTGTGAGTTGGAATCAACTCAGTGGCAGTGAGTTTTTTTGAGAGTTTAACATGATGACATCAAGAACCCATCTCATTCCCTCTTTTCTTGGCTGTGTTTCCTCCCTGTTGGCTTCTTCTCCAGGCATGTCTTCTCCACACAGTAGCCACCAGGAGCTCTAGCTTACATTACACTTAGAGTTAGCGAAACTCAGGTCAAAAATCTTAAAGTCTTCCTCCTCTTTTTTTCTTATACACCACATACATATGCTCCTAAAGGTGCTAACTGCAAAATGTATCCAGAACTCTATCACTTCTTGTCATCTCCATCCTGGTCCTATTGTTGTTGTTATGTGCCGTCGAGTCAGACCCGACTCATGGTGACCCCTCCTTGGGTTTCCAAGGCAGTATCACTACAGAAGTAGATTGCCCAACCTTCCTTCCGAGGAGTGGCTGGTGAGCTTGAACCACCAGCCTTCTGGTTAGCAGTCAAGTGCCTTAGGCACTACGCTACCAGAGCTCCATCCTGGTCCTAGCCACCATCATCTTTCTCCTAGATTATTCCAATAGCTTCCTACCTTTGCTTATCACCTTCTTCTCACCATCTATTCTCTTTTTAAATGTAAGGCAATTTTCTCTGTCTGTGACCTCCACCTTCTTACCTCTAACTCTTACTACTCACCCCCTCTAGCCATCCATGCTTCTGTGCTGTTCCTCAAACACACTGGGCCTGGGGCTTTGCTCTAGCTGTTCTGTCTGCCTGGAATGGTCTTCCCTTAGATGGCCCCATGGCTTACTCCCACACTTCACATCTTCGCTAAAATGAGATCTACCTTGAGCATTCTACTTAAAATTGGTCAAGAGGTGACACTAAAGCCAGCCATATGAAGACCTGGGAAGAGTGTTCTAGACAGAGGGAATAGCAAATGCAAAGGCCATGAGGTGGGAAATTACTGGGCCAGTGTATTGAGAGCTTGAATGGTAGTAGAAAAGTTTGAAAACATAGGTGGTGGGAGGATACTAGTTATTGTATAAACCCAAACCAAACTCACTGCCATCAAGTCGATTCTGACTCACAGTGACCCCCATTGGATTTCCAAGGCTGTAAATCTTTATGGAAGCAGACTGCCCCATCTTTCTTTGGCAGAGCGGCTGGTAGATTCAGACCTCTGACCTTTTGGTTAGCAGCCAAATGCCTTAACTGCTACATCACTAAAACTCCTTAGTTACTATATAGGATAAAGAATTTTGGTTTTTATTCTGAGTGTAGTGGTAAAAGCTTTTTTGAAGTTCTTAATCAGGAAGGTGACATGGTTTTAAAAAGTTTGCCTTGGCTCCTGAGTAGATAACTGATTATAGAGGAGCAAGAGTGAAAGCCAGGGGGAAAAGATATTACAATAATCTAATAGAGAGATGGTGGTGATAGCTTGGACGAGGGTGGTCTCAGTGGAGGGGTTGAGAAGGGATCACGTTCTGGATGCTTTTCAAAGGTAGAGCTGGGAGGACTTGTGGACGGACTGAATGTGTGGGGGAGTGGAAAGTGTGGAATAGAGAGGATTCAGGGATGACTCAAGAGATTCTTGGCTTGAGCAGCTGAACAGATGATGGCAACTTTTATTGAGATGTGGAAGATGGTGGGATACGGAGCATCAGATTTAAGGGTGCAGGGCAGAAAGTCAGTGGAGAGGTGGGAGCTGGCCTCCCTACTTCCTTCTTTCCCTAGCCTCCCTTATCTGTGCAGGATACACCTAGAGGCAGGTTCAACCAAGACGTTCTTTGCCCTCGGCCAGGTGTGACCAGTTTGGGGCATCAGGAGCCAGAGGGATGTGATTACTGGCAGTTGATGGGGGCTTCCTCTGTCTTCTGTCACTGCTACTTCTCGTCAGTCCTGATGCCCACTGATGATTTAAGAGAGCAGCACAGTGTGTGGAGAGAGGGTGAGTATACTGATCCTGTCTACTTTTTGTTTCCCTTTCATGTCAGCGTGGGATGATGGTAAAATCCGAGCCTTCGCCCCAGAGACAGGCCGACTGATGTATGTCATTGACAGTGCTCACAGGATCGGCGTGACTGCCATTGCAACCACCAGTGACTGTAAAAGGGTCATCAGCGGCGGTGGGGAAGGGGAGGTATTGTTCTTGAAAGCAGATGCTTTCTAAATATAGCCTTGACTTAGACCAACTGCCTCACAGGATTGGAAGGAAGACTGGGCCATCCACACAGGAGGCCATCAGTTTGATTTTTAAACACATTATTTGTACTCGGATTCAGGCAGGGCCAAGTGAAGATTTTGATTAAGATCTGAAATACATCATAAATTGAAATCCTAATAATATAGATGTATATATAAGTATCTTTGTTCACAGAAAGGGCAGGCACGAATTCCATGCCCTAGAGGGAACTGAGCTATGAACCCACAAATACTGAATGCTTATTCTTCGCCAGGTCCACACTGATGGCCTGTCACACGTCAGGTGGGGAGAGGAGAGACAAGAAGTCATTACTGTCATATATTGTCATTTCATGATTTATTTTGCAAATTAAGCTTGGAAGGGGTTATTTGCTCCTCAAGAAATCTTCCATGATTTTAGGCAGTCTGTTAACGGGGTGACAGTAGGGCATTTATTCAAAATTTGAAGGTCCAAATTCCAAAGTGGTGCTTTGGTGGAGTTTTGGGATAATGGTTCCTTTTCCCTGGAGATAAATTGTCTTTATCTTTTTTAAAAAAAGAAAACTTTTTATTGTGATTTGGTGGAAAATTGTCTTTCTCTTTTAAGGTGGGTGCTATTTTAAAAACTAACTCTTTAATACAAAAGAAAAAAAAAAAAAAACACCTCACTGCCATCTAACTCATAGTGACTCCCATTGGGTTTCCAAGGCTGTAAATCTTTATGGAAGTAGATCACCCCATCTTCCTTCCGCAGAGCAGCTGCTGGGTTTAAACTGCTGACCTTCTTGTTAGCAGCCAAATGTCTTATCCACTATGCCACCAGAGCTCCTTACTCTTTCATATAACCAGGTTATTGACCATTATTTTTAAATTACACTCAGCCTTCTCTTCCATCACTTCAAGGAGTCTAAAAGGCCTTTCACTCACACATTTTTCTGAGTGTCTCCCCTCTGGCTTGTTTCCTATCCCAAAGCCTTTCCTTTCTCTGCCTGGGAATTCTGTCTGCCTGTCAGATTTTTCTTAGCTGCACACATTCTTCCCCCTCTCATCTTCTCTGCACTGTCATGGGAAGAAGCTCTCAAAGAGAAGAAAGTCACAGCATCCTGATGTAGCCTTTATAGAGTTTAGACAATAAAGCTTAGTGGCTGGAGTCCCACTACCTGGCCTCAAATTTCAGTTCCAGTACACACATGTGATCTTGGGCACATTCTATAACTTCTTCTCTGAGTTAGCTAGGGCTACTGCAACACAAATACCACAAGGAGGTGGCTATGAAAAACAGAAATTTATTTTCTCACAGTCTGGGGGGCTAAAAGTCTAAATTAGGGTCTTGGCTGTGTTAATTCCTTCCTTGTTGGGGCTCTAGGTGTTCCCTGGGTCTAGGGGGTTCCTTGGTGTTCTTGGCTTGGAGACAGTCTTCACACAGCATCTGTTTTCCCCTGTGACTGTGTCTACTCTGCTTTTTATAACTTGGAAGTAATTAGGTTTAGGATCCACCCTACATTGATTGACCCTACCTTATTAACACAACAAACGAAAGCCCTTTTTCTGAACAGGATCACATCCTCAGGGAGAAGAGCCAGATATTGGACACATAGTTTAGGGGCACACAGTTCTATCCATAACACCTCTCTGTGCTTCAGTTTCTTTACGTGTTAAGTGAAGGTAACAATGTTCCTATTAATAAGATACTTTACATTCTTTATTTTGTACTACAGGAGAAAGATGTAGCACTCTGCTTCTATAAAGATTACAGCTCTGGAAACCCTGTGGGGCAGTAGACTCTGTCCTATAGAGTTGCTGTGAGTCAGAATCGACTTGGTAGCAACAGATTTGGTTTTGGTAATTTGTACTTTTTGTTGTTTTGTTGTTATTTGCCGTTTGTACTAAGTCTTCAAAATCAGGTCTTTACACTTCCAGCACACCTCAACCTGCACTAGTCCCATTCCAGGTGCCCTACAGACACAGGTCTAGCCTTAGACCATCCCTTGTTCTCTCCCTGTCATTGTCCCTCATGGCTTTGCTTCTTTCTCTTGTCACTCCAGCCGTGCTCTTGTTGACCCCCTTCGTGGCTTTGCCTGCTCCCTCACCCTTTTGGGTCATCTACCTGCTGATGTCCACACTTGGCTTGGACCACACCATCTCCATTCTACGTGCCTTGGCACCACTCAGCCATCTTTCTGTTGTACCTAGTCAGCTTCCAAAGGAGCTCTGGTTGCATAGTGGGTAAGGCATTTGACTGCTAACCAGAAGGCTGGTGTTTCAAACCACCAGCTGCTCCACAGAAAGATGAAGCAGTCTACTTCTGAATAGATTTACAGCTTTGGAAACCCAGTGGGGGTCACTAGGAGTCAGAATCAACTCAATGGTAGTGGGGTTTTTTTTATTTGGTCAGCTCCTCTTCCCATTCCCCACAGGGGCTATTACAGACCTTTCCCATAGAATAAGATAGTCTTCAAGGTCTTGTAATATAAATACTAGTGGCCATGTATACATTGATAAGAATGCAAACAAA